GGTCCTATATGACACATTTTTCCTAAATTGCGTTTTCACTCCCAATTTTTAATTTTTCTTTCAAAAACACAACGCGAACCCGAATTACTCATTTTTTCCAAAATTGTTGTCAATTTCATCTTCCACCTATTTTTTCCTAATTTTACATTAAATAGAAATTTATAAATTTAAAATCTATATTTTTATATATTAATTTTAATTTTTAAAATTAATCCCGACCCAAATTTCAGGTTCGGGTATTACAATTCTTCTCTCCCCCTTAAAAGAAATTTAATCTCTCAAATTTGTCTCTCTCTCACTCAATCAAATAGTTGGGGATATTAAGTTCTGAAATTTTATTCTAGCTTCCATGTGGCCTCTATGTGTGTGTGATTCTGCTATACGATCTTAATGAAAGGAATTTTCCAGTTGCGGAGTACTCTACTCTTTCGATCCACAATACCCACTGGTACCTACTCGCAAGACAGATCCTCTTGAAGTGAAAGGGGCTCATGGGCCAAGATGTGAGAGGGGTCCGGGTTGTACTTGCGTAATATGAATACATGAAACACATTATGAACCCTGAGTAGTTTTGGAGGTAGTGCCAGTCTGTAAGCAGTGCTAATTCTATATAAGATTTCAAATGGTCTAATAATCGGGAATTTAGTTTCTCCCTCTTGCCAAACCTACTTATTCCGTTGAAAGGAGTGACTTTAAAGAACTCTCGATCACCTTTCTCAAATTCGAAATTCCTCCTCCAGTTATTCGCATAACTCTTCTGCCTGTTCGGAGCCGTCTGAATGCTCTTCATGATCTTAATTATTTTGGCTGTAGTCTCCTCCACTATATCTAGGTCTAACAGTTTCCTATCACCCACCTCTTCCCAATAGATCAGTTATCTGCATGTGTGATCATATAACGCCTCGTACGAAGTCATGCTGATACTTGTTTGGTAGTTGTTATTGTAGTCGAACTCTATTAAGAGTAAATGATCATCCTAATGGTCCCCGAAGTCAAGAATACAAGTTCGGAGCATATTCTCCAGTGTGCGGATCGTTCTTTTTGATTGTCTATCGGTTTGAGGGTGGAATGAGTACTAAGGGACAGTTTCATTCCCATGACTTGCTGAAAACAAGAACAGAACCGATAAGTGAACCTAGGGTCTCTGTCGGATACTACTATTATTGACATTCCATGTAACCTGACTATCTTTCGGATATACATTCTTACTAACTTGTCTAAGGAGTCGGTCATATTGATAATTAAGAAGTGGGAAGACTTGGTGAGCTGGTCAACAATTACCTAAATGACATCATGTTCCGAGCGTGCCCTAGACAATCCTGTTACGAAATCTATTGTGATGTGTTCTCACTTCCACTTCGGAATTGGTAATAGTTAAAGTAGCCCGCTTGGATGTTGATGTTCTGACTTGACTTGCTAACATACCAAACACTTGGAAATAAAGTCGGGTACATCTCTTTTCATCCCGTTCCACCAAAATTAGAGTCGCATACTTTGATACATCTTGGTGGTTCTGGGATGCATGACAAATTTTGAGCTATGTGTCAGCTCACTGTCACATAAAACACACACCATATCCTGAAATCTAAGCAACCCATCGTCAGATATTCGAAATTCTGAATTTACTTCCTGTTCTGCGTTTTTCTTGCGGGTTGGTAGGGTGGAATTGGCGGATTGAACTTCTTTTATTCTCTGTATCAACTCAGGTTGAACAGTCAGGTGGGCCAAACATGTAACTCTCTTCAGGTCTTGAAGTCGTACCTGTTGTGCAGCCCCTATTGCCCTACATTTTGAAACCATTAGGTGAGCTAATATACTTGTACTTTTTTTGCTGAGTGCGTCGGCTACCTCGTTGCCATTACCCGGGTGATACAAGATATTGCAATCGTAGTTCTTGAGGAGTTCTATCTATCTTTTCTGACGTATTTTGAGATCTTTTTGAATGAATATGTGTTTCAAGATCTTATGGTCGGTATAGATCTAAAAGATCTCCCCATACAAGTAATGGCGCCAAGTCTTTAAGACGTGGATAATCGCAGTAAGTTCTAAGTCATAGGTATGGCAGGTTTTCTCATGACTCTTCAACTGCCTGAACCCATAGGTTATGACATTTCCATGCTGCATCAGAATACAACCCAACATCAGGTAGGAGGCATCACTATAAACTATATATCCCCCTGTTCCGCTCGG